TGGAGCAGCGGACACAGTATTTGCCTACCCTCCTTTCACTTGCTGGTGTGCCCCTTCCCTAAGGCTGGTTAAGCTAGTGGTGGAGCTACATGCAATTTCCTGCCCTGCAGTATCCAAGAGGTCAGCCTGGATGATCAAATGATGATGCCACTGGCCTGCGCGTGATGTGCGTGAAGCTGTTCTGCAATCACACATCAATCTTGCAAGTTGACCGGGTTGTCAGGACGTTTGCTGCACGGATAGACTGGCTTAGATCAATGCGGTGTTGGGAAAAACGAGCAGGGAGGGAGTGAATGGCTCAGGGTAAGCTGCTTCTCAGCAAACACTGGAAACCTGTTAGGGGACCGTGGCAGGAGAGGAAAAGGCCTGAACACACGAGACAGCAAAAGATCCCCTGCAGATTTAAAAAGGAGCTGTCTCTGGTCCAGGAAGGTAGCTGTGTTGAAGAATCAGACTGAAATGCTGTTGCCTGATGGGCTAACTTGGGGGCATGGTAGCCCTCAGATAGATGGATGTAGATAGATGGTAAGATAGCTGGATGTAAAAACCCTTTTTTCCCTGCGGGTTTGTTCCAACTTAACAATAACCACTGCATTGATTTAAGGAGGAGACGGACCATGCCATTCTCCAGCCTGAGGCCGAGTTAAAGAAGGGTAAAAGTGCAGAAGCCCATGCCAAGGGTGGAAAGGCCTGAGGTCCAGGACTGCAGCAGGGTGTACTCAATAAACGGGGCCAGAGGTGCAACTCTCCCTATTACTGCGATGCCGTGTATCCCTGGCACCTATTCCAGTTTGCCTTCTAAGAGGCCGTAGGTTGGGTGATAGGATTTATTGGGCTGCATTTGACTTCAGGCCTCCCACAGGTAAAATGGGTGAGTTTTGTGGTCTGGTCATGGAATATTTATTAAGGCATTTCAGGAGCTCTAAGGCTTTTAAATGCCTTAGGATAGGCATTTAAAGAATAGGATATGCACAAAGGATATGCTCTATGGAGGTGAGGTAATGAGCTGATTCTCTGTTCCCTCCGATGTGAGCAATAGTATTTAGTACCACAGATGTGGTTAGGTGAGAAGTATTGAATACCACGTGGAGGCAAACCAGGAGTGGCATAATAAGAGTTTATGTTTTAAAACCTCATTACAGGAGAAGAGCACTGCAAAATCAGGATATCACCATCTCTGGTTTTTAACAGTCACGCTGAATACCAGGTGCTGATGCTCAGTATACAGATACCTCATGGAAATAAGACTCACAGCAACTTTATATAGCAAGGAAACTTATATGGAGCTGAAGCCTAAAGCACTTTGTATGGCTAAATTAGCAGCTGGCAGTTTATCTGGCTAAATTATAAAGTGAAGCTCACTACTACGCAGAGGGCAGCGCACCACTTAAATGCCATCTAGGTTCTCAAACCGGAGCGCACACAGTGCACAAAGTGGCCTGCTGGAAGGTATAGGCAAGGGGGGGAGGACATTGATATGTTGGCACAGTGGTCCCCAAAGGACCTGCAGTCTCATAGTTTCATAGTTTCTAGGGTCGGAAGGGACCTGAGTAGTTCATCTAGTCCGATCCCCTGCCATCGCAGGAAAGAGTGCTGGGGTCAAACGACCCCAGCAAGGTGTTCATCCAGCCTCCTCTTAAAGCCCCCCAGGGTAGGAGCCTGCACCACCTCCCTTGGAAGTTGGTTCCAGACCCTAGCCGCCCTGACCGTGAAGTCGCGCCTCCTGATATCTAGCCTAAATCTACCCTCTACCAGCTGGTCACTCCTGGCAGTGCTCGGGGGAACAGGGACTCCCCCAATGTCTGCTGGTCCCCCTCACTAGTTTGTAACAGGGCACTAGATCCCCCCTCAGCCTTCCCTTGTGGAGGCTGAACAGGTTCAGGTCCCGTAGCCTCTCCTCGTAGGGCTTGCCCTGCTGCCCCTGATCATGCGAGTGGCCTCCTCTGGACCCTCTCCATGTTGTCCACATCCCTCCTGAAGTGCGGTGCCCAGAACTGGACGCAGCACTTCAGCTGTGGCCTGACCAGTGTCGTGTAGAGGGGGAGGATCACCTCTTTGGACCTGCTTGAGATGCATCTGTGGATGCATGACAAGGTGCGGTTGGCCTTCCTGACTGCATCCCCACACTGCTGACCCATGTTCATCTTGGCATCAGTGATGACTCCAAGATCCTTTTCTGCCTCTGTACTGAGTCTGACTTCCTGCATAATACATAAGGCAGACCAATACATCAGAGGACCATAAGGCCTCTTTCAGTGACTCCTGCATCAGGTCGATAACTGAAGCCGACCCAAAGGTGCCTGGTATTGCTGTAAAAACTTCAAGAAATGGGGAAGGATTATTATTCCCTTTGTACAGACAGAGAGCTGAGGAATTACATGATTTGGGCAAACTGAACCCAGGCCTTCCTGCGTTGATACCATGCTCTAGACATGTGACCGTCCTTCCTCTTTCTGGGAAATGAGGCTTGAAGTTCCTGCATCGAGGGAGCCACTTGGTTAAAAGCCAGGGTGGCAGAGCTGGAGAATGAATGAGGGAGAGAGGCAATAACCAGACAGTAACAACACTTAGCTTTACATATAGTAGAGGCAAGAAAGGCTGGTCCAGAGACTGCATGGGGGTAAGCGCTTGGACTAGGAGAGGGATGTTCTCTTCTGCATGAAGTGCTAGCACGGACCACCCTTTGCTGGGGGCTCCAGTGGGGCTTGCAGCTGTCCCTAGGCCTTGGGGCAGGGTGAATTTCACCTGTAACATTTGTATTTTGTATAAGGACAGAGAGAGGATTAGCACTACAGAAGTGCAAAGGGTAAAGGGATCATAGAGAGACAAGGTGCACAGAGATCCCATAATGGATGCCAGGATTGAGGACAAGGATCAACATGCTGATTCCCTTTCACATGCTAAGAAGCGGAGGCTTGGTGCGTGATGGGGTCTGCTGAGCTGGGACTTGTGGAGCCCACAGGGTTGCGTGAGACCGGTGGCGATGCAATTAATCTGCTCTATACATTCATCGGGGACTTCCGGTTCCTGTTCAATGTCGCCCAGTAGCTGGTATCCTCGTGCCAGCAGCTATTGTGCAGCTGCTGGGAAATTCTTCCAAAGTAAACAGATGCCTTGTGCTATCTTAAGAAAAATATGTGCGGCCTCTTCCTCAGCTTCTCGTGCCGAATGGCAGTTCAACCAGATTTCACAATGGGGCCAATGAAATCTCCTGCAACTTGACAGGACGCTGGGGTCAGGCTGGTCTCAGTGCCATTTGCTTTTGATCACAAAAAGAGAATCTCGTGTTCGTCCAGCTTTGCAAAAATGTCCCGTTCGCTACAGCCCTGTCGTTTAAGAAGAGCAGGAACACACAGAAGTGGAGTCTCACCAAAAGAGGGATTGTGTCATACAAAACTGAAGTTATTGTATTGGCCATTACTGGGACTCCACCTTGCCGGGGGGAATAAGCAAACCACTGTGCCCCATGGATATGAGCACACCCAGCATTGAGGGTGCTGAGCCATGTCAGCGCTAAAGCTCCAGCTGCATTCAATGGGAGCAGAGGAGTTCAAAAGTATTCCTGCCCGTGGGCTGAATTGACTGATTGTAGCTGCAAAACTACCTCTGCCCACCAGTATCACCTCTGTCTTGCATCAGCCAGGTGATCTCTGCATGAGTTGCTCTTGGGGGAAGGGTTGAAGTGGTGCTGTTGGCTATTCCCTGGGTTAGCACTTTCCTGTGACTGCAGAGGACTGAATTCAATGTCCCCAGAGGCCCCTTCTAGGCTGTCGCTGTAGGGACAGGGATGTGATCGTCTCCAGTAGAGCCAGGTGCCACCTGGACATTGCTCACACTTAAGTCTATGTCATTTGCCCAGTTTTACTGGCCGAAGCATGTTGCTGTTGAAAAGGAGTGGATGAGAGGTGGCGTTAGATATCATTTGTATGTCTAGGGCCAACTCAGCTGGTGGAAACGGGCTTTGTCCCACTGGAACGTGCTGCCCTGCACCAGCTGAGGGATCCAGCACTAGGGCTGTGCGAAGCTTTGGTCGCTGATTTGATTCAGAGGACATTCGGCCTGATTCGGTGGCTGAATCTCCAAATCCAGATCGAATCAGGAGACCCATTAGTTTCTCTGAATTGAATCAGAAGCCTCTGAATTGATTCGGAGAGATTCAGAGAGATTCGACGATTTGGCCATCGACACAGCTTTATATGTTTTTTCTATGTACTTCAAGATGGATGGCCAAATCGCTGATTCTCTAAATCAGAATCGAATCTTCAGATTTGGATTTGGCTGAATTGAACTGGGACAGTGATCCGAATCAGCAAATCGAATCACTATCCCCTGAATCAGGCCGAATCCAAATCGAATGCTGCCCGTTTTGCACACCCCTTCCAGCACCTATTGGATTTAATCTGTTTAAAGGAGTCAGCCTCTCTTTGTGACTGCTCTGACTTATTGGTGCTTTTCAGTTGCCAGAGCACTTCATGAGGCTGTGTTGATAAATGCCCTCGCTCACCCACTCCAGATGAGGAAGTAGAGGCACGGGGAGGTTAAGTGACTTGCCTGAGGTCACACAGTGAGGCAGTAACAGGACAAGGAATAGCTCCCTGTGCCCTATTCTCAGTCATGTTCTCCATCCACTGGGCCATACTGGCTTATTATGGCCTTTAATGAGCCTGGTAGTTAGGTCTGTCAAACTGAGAGAGATCACACCCCGTGTTTCTGGGAATAAGCTAAGACGTTTGGACAGGAACTTGTTGAGATGGTCGGGTTCTGTGGACAGGGTGGGAGATGGCTGTTGTTCTTGGAGGTCTCCGGGTAAGAACTAGGATAAAGTTTTGACAGACTGATAGCTGTTAGCTGGATTTCTAGGTAAAATAACCAGTGACTGATGAACCTGGAGTAGTCCACATCCTGTAAGTTGCTAATCAGCTTTACCTTCACTTTCTTTACAAGTCAAACCAGATTCTACTCTGACTTAAGGCCTCTTTCTGCAACACCTCTTTCTGTAGCAATTAAAGGGGAAGATCCTGGTGAAAGGCAAGAAGCTGAACAGGCTGGAGGACACTGTAGGGGCCAATGGGAATAATAACCACGTGGAGGCTGAATATGTCTCTGATGAGGATGAAGCAGCTGAGATGGAAGACGAAGTTGTGAAGAAAGAAATAGAGCAAACCGAGAAGGTAAGTGAAAGCAGGGCCTGGATCACTGAATGCGGGAAGTCTCTGGGGATAAGTAGGGCCATAAGCTAGATCTTGGCTGTCCAGGTTTCAGAAGGCCTGAAAATCTCACATTGGCACTGATTTTGCATAGTCCAGGTTGGAGAACCGTAGAAATGACCCCTTTCCCCCCTGGGATTAGAGCAATGCTTGACAAGAGGAAAATCAAACAAATTTCTCTTGGTGGCACCAGGTGTTATAGCTTAGTGTAGGTCCACCAAAGTCCATCCTGGAGCATAGCATAACCTTTTCAGGCAGACAGTGCCAAATTAACAACCCTGGGGCTTACTTAAGAGCTCTGCCCTCAGGCAAATGCCTGTAGCTCTCAATGAAGCACCAGGTGCAGAACTTGGTCCTTTATCTTCAAACGCCGATCATGTCCAGACTGGGCATTTGGGAAGGTCCCTGTGCTCTTGGCCCAGACTGACAATGGGTTTAAAACAGCACCGCTCTAATGTCAGGGATGGTCAGCGTCAGCTCTGGCTCTGATCTGTGATGTTCTCTCTTTCTGTTTCCACTGGTGTCCAAGGATCCTTATTTCCTGAGGTCAAGTTTATTTCCCTTTGCTGCTGCTTCCCCTGGAAAGCTCTCCGCTTCTGTTGAATCAGTGTAACAATGGCAGCAACAGGGACCAAAGCAATGGAAAGCAATTAGGACGTTACCAGTCCAAACGCAAAGGGTCCAAGCTCTAGGCCAGCCCTGGTGAAGGAAGAATGGTCCTTGGTAAAAGTGCTAGCCTGGGACTGGAGAGCCACCAGCTCAATGTCCTGCCCTGCCACTGAATACTCTGTGTGACCTTGAGCAAGTGGTTTAGTATCCTGCTATGGGATGCAGGGGGAAGCTTGCTTGTTGTGGTTTCCATCATTGAGTTCGTAATCTACAGCTCTTCTAACACCAACTTGACGTTGGTATGGTGGACACAATGAATGGTACCTTTTCTTTCCCCATAGTCTCAGCCAAGTCAGCTCTTTTGGTTGCATGACTGACAGTCATGTGGGGCAATTGCCTGATGACTGAAGACAAGGCCTGTGGCCCTGAGGCACAAAGAAAATGTGCTAGCCACCAAGCTGCAGAAAGCCCAGGGCAGGGATTCTCCCCTGCACAATGAGAGAGCTGCCATGACTTCAAAACAAGGGGACAGGGAGAGCAAAGCAATTGCTATGTTAAACTCATGTAGAGTTCACATGCATGCCTAGGGCTTGGGGTTATTAGAGCTCCAGCCCTTCGGGGACAGAAGAGTGGACAATAATAAGTAAGTGGATGCACCAAGAATTGCACAGCCAGCCAGGGGCTTCCTTTCCTGGGAAGGGCTTTGCCTATGCCAAAGGTGTGACTATTGATCTGTTATTCATGCTGTCCTGGAAGCAGCCAGGCCTGGGGTAGGAGCTAAAGCCTGGGCACAGTAAGCGTTTTTGATGCTTAAGTTTGTGGGAAACTAAATCTCCACTTCAAAAGACAAGTAAGTGAAGCTCCAGTGCCCTTCCCCAGTGACCCCAGCACATCTGTGGCCTGCAGCCGTGAGCAGGAGCATGGGAAAAAGTCCAACCCTCTTGCTTTCTTGTTTCCAGAGTGACAAGCTAACGCTGGCCAAGGAGCTGTCTGACACAGTCATCTACTGCAGGAGCGTCCACTTCAGCGGATTTGAGGAGAGCCGCCAGTCCCAGGCTTTCTACGAGATGTCATCCTTCGCTGAAAGCAAAGGCTTGAAATTAGCACAGGAGTCAGGTGCGTCTGTCCTGCTTTGTCAACAGGCTTCTTGATTTCCCTTGTTACGTGGGCTCATGACCTGGGGAGCTTGGTGCTGTGTCCACTTTCCATGGCCTTTGTCCAGGAGGGTGTCTTTTAAAGGGACAGCATCCTGAAAAATAGAACCCTTTCCTACATAGCTGGTAGCATCTTAAATTATAAAAAAGAGTTGACTGTGTCTCTTTAAAATGGAAGTGGTGGCTCCCCACTATTCAGTACTTTGTGCTGGATGACCTGAGAGCTCCCATGCAGCTTCCTAGATCTCCTGATCTTTTGTCATCCATGAGTAGTATCTTGAGGGTATATTTGAGCCATAGCAACTTTTTATATGTGCACGTGTGTGCATGTGCATATATGTGTGTGTGTGTAAGTAATATGCACACACCACTGACCCCTGCTGGGCAGATTTGTTTCAGCTCTGTGCAATAGGTCTTTACTGGTACAGCTGGGATTTATAGGCCCTACACCAGGGATGGGCAATTATTTCAGGCAGGGGGATGGTTACTAAGTTTTGGCAAGCCATTGAGGGTCACATGACAGGCAGCCAGGGGCACATAAATATAACCTTAAAAAAAGGTTTTTAGGGGCCCTGCGGGCCAGATGGAACAGCCTGGCAGGCTACATCCAGCCCGTGAGCCGCATTTTTCCCACTCTTGCCCTACACTGATAAAGGCAGTTCCTAATTAGCTGGAATAGAAGGGGTTATCACACCTCTAACTTGAGCAACACATCGGTGGGGGTGGCTACACCTTAATGAAACAGAAGCTGAGTTATGTGGATCAAGAGATAATCCTGCCCTGGAGTGGTGTAACTTTGAGTCGTGTAATAGGTGCTTCAAACTACTTGAAGGTGTTACCATGCAGCCAGTCCAGGAGTTAAGATCTACAGAAGATGCCCAAAATGAATGTGTAACAAGGCATTTAGTATTCTTGGTCATTGTGCAGCCTAGTAGCCATCATGTGCAAACCAGAGACCCTCGTTAAGTCTTGGAGTGGCTGTGGCTTTGTTATCGTATCTGCTTGTGCTGCTTGATAGACTGTCCTGCTCCTTTAATATCCCTTGAGCACTATTTGGTAGGCCTGTGCGAATAGGGAAGTATTCAATTTGGATTTGGCTGATTCAGAGGACGGTGATTCGATTCAGAGATTCAGATCACTTTCCTGAATCAATATGGCTGAATCGGCTTTGGAAGATTCGTCACTGATTTGGAGAGATTTGGAGATTTGACCATAGACTATAATGAGGAATCACTGAAATACCTGTAACTTTGTCATTTTTGTTAGATTTGGATGAAAACAGCTGGGATGGTAGCCCCTTCTGAGGGCCTGAGGCCTGCCAGGTTTCATAGAGATAGGTGCAGGGATTTCTGGGAAACTGTACCTCAAGATGCTGACAAGCAAAACTTGTCATGTGTGACTGTGTGTGTGTGTGTGGCACAGCGGGATGAGACCAGCAAGGATGGTAGCCTGTAAGAGGGGGCCTTCCCAGTGCTGAGGCAGAAACAGGTCACAAAAGGCTGCAGACAGAAGCTTATGTGCTATTTCTACATCCCCACCCAGAGCACTGTGATTGGAAGGGGACTCAGGGAAAGATCACAGTCAGTGGCCAGCTACAGATGTCAGTCTCCCACCCACCCCACCCCCTCTCCCACTCCCTCTTCTCAGTTTTTGTTTCCCTGCAAGACTGCCTTCCAAATCTCCGAATCTTTTCCAAATCAATTTGGAGGGTTCTTTTGGTCTTCCGATTTGATTCAGTGATTTGGCCTCTGAATCAGGCCGAATCTTCTCTGAATCAAATTGGTGAATGAAGCTTCGCACCCCACTACTATCTGGGAGAGGAAATGGTGTCTTAAATGGCATGTCCTATTGTGACTGGACTTGGAGGCTATGTGGTGGGTTTCTGTTGCCACACTGGATAAGCTTGACTCTCAGAATCAAGTTTTTCATGTAAATGGCTGCGATTTTTCATTTGAGAAAGGAGGGAAACTTCTGAGGCATCTCCTCCTGCTGAGGTCCCTGTAATGGTGTCTCAGGATGGGACCTGTATGCGGATGACAGTGGGTTCAGTTTGCCAGGCAGAGCAGAGTCCACTTTGGAGAGGCCACTAGCTTGCTCTTGATGGTCAGGTGGGGGTGAGAAGGCATTCGGCATGCATGGCTATCAGTCTCTTTGGTCAGCTCTGCCTCCATGAGAAGTAGCAGGAGGGAGGTGGTGTCATTGAGCCAATTAAAAAGAATTGATAGATACACAATTAGAGCACGCACTGAGTAGGCAGGTAGAGATGCTGTATATAGCATTAAGGAGAGAGAGAAATAGCAGAAGTCATTAAAAGAGAGGTTGTAACTTGTTCTTTTGCAGGAACCGATTTTATTCATCACAACATCAAGTATCTGAGCCGGATCTATCCTGCTGGCTGGAGAACGGATTCTTCCAACTACAACCCAGTTGACTTCTGGAACGTGGGCTGTCAGATTGGTACGTGCTACGTGATGCACACAGATTGTCCAGTGACCTAATTGTTCATAGGATCTGGTTGACCTGCATGTGGTTTCAGTCCAACTGGTGCTTATTGGCAGGCCCAGAAGAGAGGCTAAGGGCTTAATCATAGAGAAGTAGGGCTGGAAGGGATCCCCAGAGTTCATTTAGTCCAACCCAGTGATTGAGGCAGGATCATCCCTATCCAAACCATCCCATACAATCTATAATCTAAATTCTACATAATACTACCATCAACCCTGACACAACACAGACCTAAGACCCTAAACTGCCACAGATAAAGCAGGGGACCCTTGGCAGTTAATGTCTTGTTTCTATGAAAGGTTGTCAGTGCATGCTGGAAAGATCCCAGGTAGGGGGCAACCCCCCCCACAGTCCATACCAATCCAACCATGGGGTAAAATTCCTTCCTGCCCCCCTAATGTGCTGATTAGTTTGATCCTGAGTGGAGGAGCAAGACTAATTTTGCTGCAATTTCAAGCCATTGGTCCATGCTACCTTGTCTGCAGCAAGGGAGAAAAGGTGTTTTCCCTCTTTTTTATGGCAGCCCTTCAAGTATTTGAAGACGGCTACCATGTCCCCTCTTAAGTGCCTTTTTGGAAGCTGAACATGCCTACCTCCTTCAGCCTCTTCCCTTTATCATCTTTGTTGCCTACCTCTGGATCCTCTCTAACTTCTCTACATCCTTTTTAAAAAGGTAGAGCCCAGAACTGCAAACAGTATCCAGATGAGGTCTAACCAGTGCTGAGTAGAGAGGCACGTCACCTCCCATGTCTTGCACCTACTGCTTCTACCGATGCAGCACAAAACTGCATTTGCCTTTTGTGCAGCTCCGTCACACTGCAGACTTATATTGAGTCCATGAGCTACCAAGACTCCCAAGGCCTTTTCCAAAGAGCTGTCATCCAGCCAGGTGTCACCCATTTTATATTTGTCTTGTTGATTATTCCTCTCAAGGTGCAGCACCTTGCATTGATTCACATTAAACTTCATCCTGTTAGTTCTAGCCTGACTTTCCAATCTGTCAGGGTCCTTTTGAACTGTGCTCTCATCCTCCAATGTGTTCTCAGTCCTTCCAAGTTTTATGTTGTCTGAAAACTTGCTCAAGAAGCTTTCTGTGCCAGCCCCCAAATCATTAATATACACAGCGAGCAGCACTGGGCCCAGGACAGACCCCTGTGGGACTCAAAACCTCCTGCCATTCAGACATGGACCTGTTAATAATTACTCTTTGCTTGCAGTTATTGAGTCAGTTATTTATCCACCTTGTAGTAGTTTTATCTAGCCCATATTTTTCTAATTTGTTTATGAGAAGGTCATGTGCAACCTTGTCAAAAGCCTTACTGAAGCTGAGATGCACTATATCCACTGCATTCCCTTCATCCACTCAAGTAGTTACTATGTTAACGAAGGAGATCAAATTTATTTGACTCTGTTTTTCATAAATCCATGCTGGCCGCTTGTGATCAGCCTTTACTCCCTCCATATGCTTGCAAGTGGGCTTCCTTAGGATATGCTCCAGTAACTTCCCAGGATAGAGGTTAGGCTAACCAGTTTATAGTTCCCTGGGTCCTCTTTTTTGCCTTGTACAAAAGGGAAATATGTTCACCCTTTTCCAGTCCTCTGGTACGTGGCCTGCCCCCATGACTTCATGAAGATCATTGCCAAGGGCTCCAAGATCTCCTTGGCCGGTTCCTTAGTACCCCGGGATGAAGTTCATCCAGCCCTGCTTGTTGCAGTGTCTGATTAACTCATTAATCATTTCTAGATCTTGTTTTCACAATGATCCCTGCTGTGAATAGAGAGGCTATGCATGAATGAATGTATCCCCACAAGACACTGGGGACACAGTGCTGTTATCTCTGGATGCAAGGGGGGCCGGAGAGACACAAGTAACTTGCTCGGAGTTGTCCCCCTAGCAAAGCCAGAAATAGAGCTCAGCCCTCCTAAGTCCCAGTGCAGTGCTGTTAACTCCCAGATGTGATGCTTTCATAGTTTCATAGTTGGTCGGGTTGGAAGGGACCTGAGCAGATCATCGAGTCCGACCCCCTGCCATGGCAGGAAAGAGTACTGGGGTCAGATGACCCTAGCAAGGTGTTCATCTAACCTCCTCTTAAAGTCCCCCAGGGTAGGAGCCAGCACCACTTCTCTTGGAAGTTGGTTCCAGATCCTAGCCGCCCTGACCGTGAAGTCGCGCCTCCTGGTATCTAGCCTGAATCTCCCCTCTACCAGCTTGTGACCGTTATTCCTGGTCACTCCTGGCAGTGCTCGGGGGAACAGGGACTCCCCCAATGTCTGCTGGTCCCCTCTGACTAGTTTGTAACAGGCCACAAGATCCCCCCTCAGCCTTCTCTTGTGGAGGCTGAACACGT